AAACAGACGAGACGGGTTGACCTCCATAGTTAGGACAAGCTACATATCTCAGTTTACCTACGCAAGGATGAGCTGACAGGCTAGTAGACCAACTTATCAATTTTTTTTTATAGAAATTTTTTATATGTATTTTTTAAACAGTACACATAAATTTTAACTTTTTCATTAATCAATATTTTATTAGATAAATTAAAAAATTACAATATTTATGTGTTAAAATATCCAATTATAATCAATAATTTAATTTTAATTGGTTAATATTTATAATTTAAATTATAATATTATACTATATTTAGATATTTCAATAATATAACTTAAAAAATATAAAATTTTTAATTATAATTCTTATTATTTTAATATATATATATATATATATATATATATATATATATATATATATATATATTCTAAAAGTAGGTTAACCTACACCACCCTTGGCCCGTCGAGGTGGTAGACTGGGTAGGACAGACCAAAATAGGCTGACGGACTAAAACTGTCAGCCCGCCCCGCTAGGTTTAACTCGTTTTGCATGTGGATACCTATTTTGCACATAGATGGAATATTGTACAACTTCTACTCATAACTCCTTGAACATATTCTTGGTCTTCAATATTGACTGAGCTATGTTAAGAATAGTTTGGTTATTCCTTTTGACCATACCATTTTGTTGTGGTGAGTATGGAGGTTTTAAAAATCATCTTATACCTTCATCTTCATAGTATTTTATGAAGGTTGTCGATGTAAACTCTCCACCTTTATCAAATCAATTGACCTGATATGTCTCCTAGATGTCTTCTCCACCTTTATTAGATTAAAATATTACTTTTGAGTTCTAAAACATAATACACATCTTGAATTGACCTGACTAGGCCATTCTTTTACAAGTAATGGGTTGTTCTTCAGTCTTTTACTGAGACCTTCAAAGCATCACTAGAAGTCACATATTCAACCTCTACTTTCTTTAACTCTTTAAACAAGTGCCTGTTTCTACACATGTGATTATTTGCACCCGTATCCAAATATTATACCGAGTTATAATCGGTACCTTCAAATCCTTCTGACCTATGATAAGCTCCATTATCGTTTCCTAACCTATGATAGACCATTAATACCATTGCTTCTACCTCCTTCACAAGATTTGTTTCTTCTACCTTTTTCTCAGCTCGACATTCTTTAGCAAAATGCCCCACCTTTTCATAATTGTAATATTTGTCCAAGTTACAATTCTTAGTGTAGTGACTATATTTGTCACACTTATAACATTTAACGTTATAGGTTGGTGATCGACCTCCTTTCCAACCATGTTGCCTACCACATCAATTTTGCTAGTTTGAATCTTTCTCCTCATTATTTTGTCCACGACTTCTACCACCTCGGCTTCAACGTCCACGCTCTCTACCATGAGTGTTCTGAGAGTATAGACCTTTCTCTTCTTTAAGAGATGTTTCACTTTGGAGTGCTTGTAGTGTTGCCTCCTTTTTCTTCTTCTTCCGATACTCATAAGCCTAAAGAGAACCAAGAAACTCCTATATTGTGAGTTTGGACATGTCCTTTGACGATAATTTGGGAATATCACCACATAGGTGGTTGTGCTTGTGTGATGAATAAACAAATATAGGGATCCTATAATGACTTTGGGTGTATATTAAAACAATGCATTAAAGGAAGTGAATCTTGTTGTAAAAAGAAACGTGAAAAATGTCATGACTATGCTTTTATTATTCTACTTACAAATTATCATTGATTTGTTGTTGTTGTTCTCCCGCTTTAAAAAAATGTTTATGATTGTTCATCTCAAGGGTTGTTGAAGTAATTACAAGGTAGTACCATGTGTCGTATGTGGCTTGGGAAAAGATTTACCTAAGTTCCCTTACGAGCTCCAAATATTTCTACCAAAAAGTGAAAAGTGTGGGAACATAATTATTAGCCAATCGATTAATATATAAAACCAAGTATAACTATATTTAGCCATGTTTGGAGCTGGCTATGTCTTGTACAAGAAGAAATGAGAAAATGAATCTACAGGAAAAAATTAGATGTAATTTGAATTTGATGATTTAAGATCATTTGTATGAAAAGTTTGATGGAACCTACATTTAATTTGAATCACATAAGATAGAAGAGATCACATAAGATAGAATAGATGTTTATAAAAAAATTTGGTAGAATGTTATGAATGTTTTTATTACCCATTAATTATTAGTTATTATATAAATTAAATAAACATAATAGATTAGGGGCAAGAAATAATCTATTATGTTTTACTACATAATTAATTATCCCTTATTTACATAATCAATTCTATTTAAATTGTTTAATGTATAAAATGTAAATTAATTATATTTTAACTATAAACTTCAATTTTATTACTCAAACAAATACAATTTTTTTTTACATTAAAAACAATACTAAAGGGTACATAAAAAATTATTAAAATATAATTTAATTAAATATAATTATTTATAATAAATATATTGATTGTTTCATTAATTATTTTTTATAATATTTTTTAATTTTATAATATAAAATTTAAATTAACAATTAAACTCTTATAATTATAATTATTAAAATTTGAAGTTTGAATTTTGAATAAATTTATTTTAATTAATTGCATTTTTCAAATTAGGTGAAATTAGTTTTATTATTTATTTTTATTAATATTTTTAATTTATTTTATATTCAAATAGTTGTCAAGTTGAAAAAAAAAAGAATGTGTCAAGGAATAATTTTGCAATAGAAATATCTTAAAAGTATAGATAATTTGAGAATAGAAATTTAAAAGGAAAACTTATGGTATTTTTATTTTTAGTTAAAATTCATTAAGATTCAAACCAATTTATTTTTTGTGAGGAATTTAAATAAAAATTATTATTAATAAAATTTTAAAAGGAAATTATGTTTTTAATTGTATTTAAAATTTGATAAGATTAAAATAATTTTATCCCTATAATTTGTGAAGAATTTAAATAAAAATGGTAATTAAAAAAATAAATAACATATTATTAAAAAAATATATTTATTTAATTTTAAAATATACAAAATAATAAAATTACATATAATTTATATTATAAAATTAAAAAAAATATATTTTCTTAAATATATAAAAAAATTTAAACAGATCAAAATATTAAATAAAGAGATATATAATAATATTGAAAGATTATATATAAAAAAATAAGTTATATATATATAGAGAAAATAATAATTCAGAAATAACTTATTTATTTTTTGTATTTAATTTCAATTTATATATAAATTTAATTTATTTTTTTAACTATTTTATTTAATAATTACTTTATATTAAAATATTTTAATTTTAATTTATATTAATTCTTATTAAATTATATAAAAAATATTTTAGTTATTTATTAATTTATTTTATTATGTAATTATTTTTAATTAATCAAATCAATCTTATTCATTATTATTATTTTACCCCATTTTTTTTACTTCCTTTTTCTTTTTTCCTCAATCAAAATAATTTCACTTTTATCTGCTCTCTTCTTTCTTATTCCCTTCCTTTTCATTCCATTATTCCGACTAAACAATGTAAGACATGATGTAGTTTTCCTACGTTCTTAATTCATTATGGAAAACTACTCTACAGGATCTTTAGATTATTGATTTTCACAATATAACATACATCAGTACATGGATCATAGTAAGAAGACTAACATTGATCCATGAGAGTCTATTATTTAATCTTTTCGTTCTCCAATATCCTTTTCTCAATCTATCTCTTTGTCTTTCTTTCCCTTCTCACGCTTTCTTGATGGTTTACCGTGAAAAAAACCTTATGACCAGAGACAAAACCCTTATTCTATTTTATTAACCAACGTCCATCAAGTTGGTTACCGTAAGTTAATATTTGATTTTATCTTTATTTTATTCTAACTTCACATAATAACCAATAGGTCCTCATATTTTATTAAATCATATTTGGGCCCATCATTATATTTCGCATGAGTCACATAATGGAATGAATTAATTAAATTAATTCTAACATTCTCCCCACTTGACTCATGTGATGTCATACGATTCTGTGATTTAATACTTAAGTCATAATGTGCATTAAAGGACCTTACATAAATTGGTTCTATCATTATTCATAATTAAAGATACAGTTATAACAAGAGTCAGTGCTCTGATACCACATGTAAGACATGATGTAGTTTTCCTACGTTCTTAATTCATTATGGAAAACTACTTTACAGGATCTTTAGATTATTGATTTTCACAATATAACATATATCAGTACATGAATGAAGACTAACCTTGATCCATGAGAGTCTATTATTTAATCTTTTCGTTCTCCAATCTTCTTTTCCCAATCTATCTCTTTGTCTTTCTTTCTCTTCTCACGCTTTCTTGATGATTTACCGTGAAAAAAAAAAACATTATGACCAGAGACAGAACCCTTATTCTATTTTATTAACCAACGTCCATCAAGTTGGTTACCGTAAGTTACTATTTGATTTTATCTTTATTTTATTCTAACTTCACATAATAACCAATAGGTCCTCATATTTTATTAAATCACATTTGGGTCCATCATTATATTTCCCATGAGTCACATAATGGAATGAATTAATTAAATTAATTCTAACATTATTCCGACTAAAAAAATGCATGAAATTGGCTTGTGGTTAAGTAATGAATAAATTATCCCCATTTTTTATCTCTCACCGAAATAGTTAAGATAAAATAACTACAATGTTTAAAAAATATAATTATTTTAATATGAAATATTTATTACTTTAATTATATATTTTTTATTTTTAATATTAAACAAGTTATAATTATTTTATAATTATAAAAATTAACAATTAAAAAACATTAGAAATTTAGAATTTATAAATATTTTTTTAAAGAGAAATACAATAAATATTATTTTATGATTTCTTTTTAATGAAATAAGGTGTGTATGAATGAAAAATGAGTTCTACACGTGTTAAGAGCTTATTTGACGAAACACGTGCTCCTTTCAACACAACTTCCCCATGGCACTTCCGTTATTCAAGGGAGAGAGTGAGGTCAATTATCGGGAGTCAACAGTTTGAAAAATTAAAAATAGTCTTTTGGAATTCTCCTTCTTCTCCTTCCACCATTCTCTTTTCAGTTTTTCTTCCTTTCCATCACTTTCTCTTATTTCCCCTTTCACATCCTCTTGTTTTCCCACACAGAAAATCACGGTTCCCAACCACGAGAATGGAGGAAAAGCACGCAGCAGCCTTGGAATCCGCGCATACCGAATCCAACGGTGTCTCTCACGGGGCCGACCACGGCTGGCAAAAGGTGACCTACGCTAAGAAACAGAGGAAGAAGACCAACAATAGCGCCAATGGATCCGATACTCGAGCCAATTCCAACAAACTCGTTCCAAACGGAACCTTGTCCAGCTCCGATGGCGTTTTCCGGTCGCTGGAGCTGCAATCGGAGGACCGCCGCATACGATGATGATGACGCGCCGGTCAGATCGAAGCAGCGGCCTCGTAACGACGATGACGAGGAGGAGGAGAATGTGGAGCATTCAGCTGAGAATGGGAAGGTGGAAGAGAAGAAGGTAAAGCAGAAGAGGCCGAAGAAGCCTAAGGTGACTTTGGCAGAGGCGGCGGCAAAGATCGACGCCGCTGATCTGGGCGCTTTCCTCGTTGATATATCGGTAGGGCATTGTCAATTGAATCGCGCATGTTTAGGTTTTGTGTTTTGGTTTGATCTGTTGGATCAGGAAGACGATGCGTTTCTATTCGTTTGGTTTGATTTGAATTTTTATCTCTTTGTTCGCTTGTTTGTTTCCACATTAGGCATCGTTCGAGAAAACAACAGGACATATTGATGATGCGGTTCGCTGATTATTTTGGACGTGCTTTTTCTGCCGTGACCGCATCTCAGTTTCCCTGGGTGAAATTGTTTAAGGAGTCAACTGTGGCTAAGGTCACTGATGTGAGTGCTCAGTTCCTTGTTTTCTTATTATTTTCTTCAATGGAAATAATAGATAAAGAATTTCATTTTGTTCCTCTCAGGTTATATGGATCTCTCCAATAGAAAAAAAAAATTGAAATTTATTGGTCGGCGCAGAACTATACTGCTGAACAAGAAACGACTGAAGCAATTACATCTAATGTTAACGGGACGTTGCTTTCTTTTCAACGTAGTAAAATTTTCAGAGTAAAATGGTGAAATAAACTGGAGTCAGCCTGTTTTAAAGTAATACGTCTGGAGAATTTTAATTTCTTGGTCATGCTATAAAAGATTTTTGTATGTGTTTCTATCTACAATTTTCAATGACAAAAGCCCTGATTATTCCTCCAAAAAAAAAGATGACGCTATTGGTTTTGTGGGATGAACGGTTGTATGACTTTTCAAGGTATATGAATGCTTTGTAGTTTAGAGTGCAACGTTACTCGTGCACATTTTAGTTATATTACTTTCTTTTCTTTGCTGTTGTTAATTGTGACTATTTGTTTTGACTTATGACCATGTTTGTCATGCTATATCATGTTATCTCTTAACATGAATGGTTGATCTTTGTGAAGTTCAGTCGCATCATTCTCTAATTAATAGCTTATAGAAGATATTGTTCAAAAATTCACGGCAGCAAGTCGATCACAGCAGCAAATCGATTTCTTATTTGCGTTAAATTATTCTAGTCTGTTTTAAGTACCTAGGTGGTATTGATATTATGCAAAGCAAACATGGTAGGTGTGTCTTTGGTGTAGTGAAGTTTAATCGAGCTCTCCTGCTAAGGGTGAGTTTCAAATCCCATATAGATCAATGCAAACGGGAATTCACTTTTTCCAAAGCACTAAACTAGGAACCAAACATTTCATATATCATTCGCATTCAATGGACGTTTGCCCACTTTCAACTGTAAACCTAAGACACTAAATCTGTTGTAATATTGTTTTATATTGTACCGTTTATTGTAGTTACTATTTTAATATTGGTAATTTTGCTAAGGAAGAATTTTGCCAAATCTGTTGGCTTTTTCTGTCATGATAAATAGTACTGTCTTTTTTTTGGTGAGACCTTGAGAATCATAATAGTAGAAAGCATTCATTCATCAGTTACAAAATCATAGTACTGGATCTTGTTCTCGTCCTTTCATGGTATATTGATGTTTGAGGAATTTTTTATATTCAGTCATTTTGGAGCATTCATATTCTATCTTTTAGTGTTTATCAGAATCTTGGTTTTATTTTCTGGTCTTTTCCTGGAAAGTTTATTGGTGATTCTCCTTTTTTCCAGATGCCACTTTCTCACATATCTGATGCTGTATATAAAACATCAATTGACTGGATTAACCAACGATCCCCTGAGGCACTTAGTTCCTTTCTGCTTTGGTCTTTGGATAGCATTCTTGCTGACTTGAGTAGCCAGCAGACTGTGGCCAAGGGTTCCAAAAAGGCTGTGCGGCAAGTTGCTTCAAAATCTCAGGTACTTAATGCTTTTCTCAGTCTAGAACTATTGTTTTTTATTCTCCTTTTGAATTTTCCATAACAGAAGTCACCTGTGTTAGGAGATAAGAATGAATAACAAAAGTAGAAAAATCAGACTCTCTTAAAAACTAATAGGAAACCAAATTGAAACAAAAACTGAGCTAAAAGAGAAATTTCAATACAGAATTGCTGGATATTAACTCGACAACTCTATCAAGGGTTTTGGCCCCTTGATTTTGGTCTCACAAATTTAATGATCATTTAATATCTTTACTTGTATATTTACAATTTTATTCTCCGAGTCCCTTCTCGCTTTGTAACTCTCATATAATTTATGATATTGTCCCTCTCAAACTTAATGATAATTTAATATATTTAAGTATATATTTACAATTTTATCATTTCACCTTTTCATCTTCTTACTTTATTTTATATTTATTTATTAATAATATATTATTTGGCCCCTTCAAGATCAATGGTCAAGATCTGTCACTGGGTTCGAGATTTAAATTTGTGGAGAACTCGCCAGTATAACGAAAAATGAGGATAATGGTCGAGATTAAGGAACAAATGGCGAGTTGTGTCCTCCCGAGCACATTTTATTTTAAAGAAGCAAGATTTTAAATGTTTAAAGGATGAGGAGAAGAGTGTAAATAGACCATTGTGTTGGGAATCATTTAAAGAGACCCAATTGATCTCGTAACCATGCTTTAGCTTGTAGAAATACATAAGTTTCTTTATAGTGGGACAATGTTAAGAAGGTCCCAAAGAATTTGAAAGGCTTATGAGAAAGCCACACTGTTCAGATGTAACTAGTTAGGAGTTATGCATAAAATTGATAGCATATCACATTCAAAATTAAAAAAAAGAATGAGTATATCTAAATATTTAAATAGACATTCATAAACATAGGTAAAATCCTCCAAATCTATCAAAGGTTTTATGTAAACTTAATCAAGAGGCGAACACTCCTCGACGGTAACAATATCAAAATTTACATTAGTATAAACTCTATAAATTTTATATTCTAACAATTCATTCGCATAAGTCTTAGTCAGATTTTAGCGTCACAACGTAATAATCATTGTCTTATATTTTTAGAGTTGCATTTTCTTTTATGATAATAATTATCATTCTCTTTTTAGAGAGAACATGTTATGTTTCTCGTATACATAATGCAGTGCGTATTCTATTCTATCTTTTCTCTTCATCCCATTGGGAGACAAAACAAAAAACAATACCTAAGACCTTCTCCACAGTTAGAAGATCACATACCTAATGTTAATTTCATCATCACATAATTTTCAAGGACAAATTCATGTACGTTTTCATATTTTATTTTTATCATGAATTGGAGTATGGGTTATTTAAGGAATAACATATAATTGTGGTGTGAAATTTTGAATCTACGTGGATATAATAAGCATGTGATGGACACAGTTATTATTTGTTAGAAATATCCCTTCATAAATTTATTATCAAATTAAATTTAAATATAATTATATGAAAATAAATCATGAAAGGAAAAATTATTCTTAAATAATCAAATTTATATGTTTTTTAAAAATAATTCTATACACAATGATAAACCTTAAACTAACTAATTAAAGTAAAATTGTTTAATTTAATAGGGTTTTGACATTTTTAGTTAATTAAAATTATTAATTACTATGTTAATTATAAACAATTATGAAATTAGTATTAATTAATTTAAAATTAGCATATAATTAAATATAGTTAACAAATATTTCAAACTTTAATAAGGTAATTAATATTAATATTATATTTAATGATTTTATTTTATTTCAAATATCAATATCAATCACTCTTACAATAACAATTTTATAAATTAAGAAAATAAAAAATCAAAATTACTAAATTTATCTTATAAATTTTCAATAGAAATTTAGCAATGATATGTTGCCAAATTTATTAATTATACTCTATCATATAATATATATATATATATATATATATATATATATATATATATACACATAATCTTTTTATATATATATTTTTCAAATAAATATTTGGATAAAAAGGTTTATCAAGCATAAAATCTTTTAATCTTAAAAGTAAAAGTAAAAGTTATGATTGATTAATATATATATATATATATATATATATATATTTAATTATACAATTTTTATAATAATCTATTTTAAATTATAAATAATATTATTTTAAAAACATATTTGTAAATAATTATATTTCTATATATATATTTATCAAATAATTGAATTTATGAGATTAATGTTTATATGAACTATATCTAATTACTAATTTTAGATACTATTTTCTCAAACTTATTTAATTGGTATAGATAAATTATATATAATTACTCGTTCTATTGTTTTTATCTTCTCGTATGTTTATTCTCTTGAAAATTTATAATGATTTCTCAAATTTACTATTAGTATATATCTCTTAAACTAAGATTAAACAAATTTTATAATATGAAAAAAAAAATCCTCGAACGCGCCCTCACATCTAACATATAAATATATAACTATATATATATATATATATATATATATATATATAAATATATATATCAAAATATATAAATATACTTGTATTTATATATTCTATATTTATATATTTACACGAATATATATTTATTTGTATATAAATATAATTTATTTGTAAATTATTATAAAAAAATTATAGTAGTTTAATGGTTGAAATATTAATTTTCAACTCTAAAATACTCGAATTTGAATACTGTTAGTGACAATTCTCTAACTTAAGTGAATTTTTGACTAAAAAAAATAAAAATACTTTTAAGAAAAAATATATAAATAAATATATATTTACACGGATATATATTTATTTGTATATAAATATAATTTATTTGTAAGTTATTATCGTAAAATTACAGTAGTTTAGTGGTTGGAGTATCAACTTTCAATTTTAAAATACTTGGGTTCAAATTCATCAGATGACAATTCTCTAACTTAAGTAAATTTTTTGTTGAAAAAAATAAAAACATTTTTCGAAAAATATATATAAATAAATATATATTTACACAGTATATATATTTATTTGTATATAAATATAATTAATTTGTAAGTTATTATCGGAAAATTACGATAGTTTAGTGATTGGAGTATCAACTTTCAACTCTAAAATACTGGGTTCGAATTCTGTCAGTGACAATTCTTTAACTTAAGAGAATTTTTGGGTGAAAACACATTCAACGTCGATTCATCTAGAACCGACGTGGAAAGTGTCAATTAAAAGACTTTCAACGTTGGTTCATCTAGAACTGACGTGGAAAGTGTTAATTAAAAGAATGTGTCCAACATTCAACTTTCAACGTTGTTTTTTAACCAAACGACGTTAAAAGTGTATTTAACGTCGACTCAGCTTTAACCGACGTTAAATGGCGACGTTGAAAACATATTTGGTGGTAGTGTAACCATTGATTATTTTTTTTTGTTTTTTTGATGACCAAGATATTACACCATCTCCCAATTTGAAAATATAACCAGACGTGCTCTTTCTATCTTCTAGATCCCCTACATAATCACTATTAGTATAGGCAAGTAATTCTACATTTCCTCCAGCTTTATAAAAAATTCCTAAATTTTAAGTTCCCTACAAATATGTCAAAATAAGTTTTACTGCTAGGAGGTGGTTGTCTTTAGGATGCTCTATGAAGCGACTAATCACACTTATTGAATGTGCAATATCCGATCTAGTAGCATTCAGATACATAAGGCTTTCTATAAGTCGTTTGAATAAAGTACTATCAATGTCTGCCCCTTTATTGTTCTAAGTATACATCATCTTGCCCCATGTAAGAAAGTTGACTTGATATTAAGATAAATGTTCCACTTTTTGTGGCTGCTAATGCAACAATAGTTCTAATGGTTTCCAAACGAGCTATTGTGCAAAAATATCGTTATAATCAATGTCCTCTCATTTTTCTACTGATCTAGCTTTAAATTTGTCCATCCCCTATCTCGTTCAATTTTGTCTAGTAAATCCATTTGACACCTATAATTTTTCAATGTTTGCAGGTGCAGATCCAGTAACATACAATCAAGCATCACACACTCAACATTGGAGAGATGCCATGGATGTTGAATTTCAAGTCATTCAAAGAAATGATACATGTGAGCTAGTTAATCCACCACCAAATTGCAAAATTACAAGTGTCAAGTGGATTTACTAGACAAAATTGAAGGAGACAGGGTGATTGACAAATTTAAAGTCAGACTAGTAGCAAAAGGATACACCCAAGAAAAGAGCATCAATTATAGTGAGATTTTTGCACCAATAGCTCATTTAGAAATCATTAGAACAGTTGTTGCATTAGCCACCATAAAAAGGTGGAATATTTGTCAGCTTTATAACAAGTCAGCCTTCTTACATATGGGAATAAATGAAGATGTATATTTAGAACAACCACAAGGTTATTTCTCTAGGGGACGTGAATATACAAACTTAGAAAAGTTGTATATAGTCTTAAATAGACTGCTAGAGCCTGGTACAATAGGTTTGAGTTTTATCTTGCAGCTAATGATTTTTTAAAATGCCCACATGAACACACTCTTTTTGTGTGCACTCTTAATTATTTGTGTTTATGTAGATGATTTGATATATACAGATAATCATGATTCAATGTTTCTAGAGTTTAAAAGGATAACGATGAATGAGTTTGCTATGACTAACTTAGGCAAGATGAGATACTTGCTTGACATTGAAGTTTTGCAAAGCTGTGACATAATTTTTATTTAATAGAAGAAATATATTTGGGATATGTTACAGATATCACGTGTTTGACTGTAACTTAGTTAAGAATCGTTTTGTTCCAGGTATTAAGTTGCTGAAAAGAGATAAAGTGACAGAAGTTGATAGTACTTTATTCAAACGATTTATAAGAAGCCTTATCTATCTGAATGCTACTAGATCGAATTTTGTATTATCTTAGTCATAAAAAAAAATCAGTAGTTAGTTTATCCACAACAAAAACAGAGTTCATAGCAG